GGTGAACTACAACTCTAACACTCAAGTTCAATGCCCACCAAACCCTTCCAGTATTTTCTGTTGGTCACAGGAGTTCTCTGTTCCAAGTTTGGTTCAATTCCATTATTGGTAGAGTTCAGAATGCTCTTTGATTGTAGATGAACTATAAATCCCAACAACTACAACTCCCAAATGACAAAATAAATCCCCTCCCCCAACCCCATCAGTATTCGAATTTGGATGTATCAGGTATTTGTGCCAAATTTGGTCCAGTGAATGAAAATACATCCTGCATATCAGATATTTACATTACGATTCATAACAGTAGCAAAATTACAGTTATGAAGTAGCAACAAAAATAATTTTATGGTTGGGGGTCACCACAACATGGGGAACCATATTAAGGGGTCACAGCATTAAGAAGGTTGAGAACCACTGCTGTAGGCAATGAATACTCAAGGGGGTTTTGGCCTGTTGCTTAATCTGAAATATAGCCTACAAAACCCGGTATTTGTTGGCAGTTTTCAGTGCATGGACTACCCAGGGCTGACTCTGCTTAGCTCCCAAGCTCAGACAGGATCTGCTGCCTTTGGGGCATTTAGGCCTCCCTTTTCCATATTCCTATCTCAATTTAAAACATGACTCTCCAATCTTCAAACCCAGCTCATTTCTGATTTTGGAGCTGCAGGCAATGTTGGAATCCCCAGGCTCTATATAGTCGTAGAAGTACTGTCATTAGTGGATAGATGAACATCTGAAATAACCTTGTATAGGCATTTCTAGGGATGCTAAAAATGATGCATTCTCTCTCACACACTCACTCACACACACGCAGATTGTCTGCTGTTTCCTAGAGGCTCTACTGCCATCTCTCAGCTCACTGAAGAACCACACTGTGCAAAGCATAACCCAAGACTCCATGGGAAGCAATATAAACAGGAAATATAAGATAGATAGATCATGTAAGAATCACTATATCTATTTTGTTGTATTATGCTCCATGGGCAATTCAGTTACCCAAAATTTGCTTCTTGGATTTGAAGATACTATATTTAGCTGCAACAGGGAATACTAGAGAAGACATAGCGAAATCTTTGTGATTTCTGGCAAAGGGAAAACATTCTCAATAGGACTATAACACTCGGTAACCCATTATTTTTGTTCTGGGTTTATAAATATCATTATTTCCTAATTGCTTCTATCATAAAAACATGGACAACATGTATTAAACTTCCAAAACTTTGCCTTTGTGGGAGGAATATCCTGCTATAGTACATTTTGCTATAGTTTTGCAATTGAATATCTCATCATAGAATCTCAACTAATTCAACATAGTTTATGGCCACAAAAACAAAGTTTCTGGAGTATAACAAGTATTTTCAAGATAAGAATCTTGGCTCCTCCTCTGCTTTTCAGAATCACAGTTTAATCCTTTTTTATTAATCCCAGCAAACAAACAAAATGAAAACTCTCGTTCCCAGAAAACCAGTTACCTCTCCTCTAGAGTAGATAATAGAAGCAGCTGTAAGGAAGTATTTAACTCAAAGCAGAAATGAGGTTGAAGTGTACCAGAAAAAAGAGGGGTTTTTTTTAAGGAAGCCCAGGGAGAATAGCTCTTCCTTACCTGGAAATGAGGAAGCCTCCTTAAAATGCCTTGGAAAGAGTGTGTGGCACTGGTGGAAGCCCAGGAGACAGAGCACATGCACCTGCCTGCAGGGCCTCTCCTCTAGAGTAGAAGCAGGTAAGAAGTATAGGACTCCTTAAAGCATGCACGCCTGCCTGCAGCGCCTCTCCTCTACAGTAGAAACAGCTTTAAGAAGCCTCCTTTAAATACCTTGGAAAGAGTGTGTGGCATAATGCAGGCCTGGGAGAGAAAGTGCACGCCTAGAGTAGAAACAGTTAAGAAACCTAAGCCTCCTTAAAGCACACATGCCTGCCTGCAGTGCCTCTCCTCTAGAGTATAAAGAGCTTTAAGAAGTCTCCTTTAAATGCCTTGGAAAGAGTGTGTGGCATAATGCAGCCCGGGAGAGAAAGCACATGCCTGCCTGTAGCGCCTCTCCTCTAGAGTAGAAACAGCTTAAAGGCCTAAAAGGACAGGAAGGGGACCCTGAGAAGCCCCCCACCCACCCATAATGGGCTGGATAGAAACCAAATATTTTGGTATCCCAGAGCGAAAACAGATCTCAGCCCTCCCGGCTTCAGGGAGACTCTCGAAAAACGGATTAGGGCCCCCACCAAAATCTGGGACACTGAAATGGATCATGGTTTACCCAGAATACACAAGCCTAGTGACAATTGTTTTTCTGTTATGATCACACAGAACTGGCAGTAATCCACAATGAAAATGGGGGAAAGGAAGGGGGGAAAGGAAGCAGCCTGAGGCTGTTAGAAATTGTGGGAGTTGAAGTCCAAAACACCTGGAAGGCCCAAGTTCGCACATGCCTGGCCTACACCATATACTAAGCAGTAGACTATTAGTGAGGGATAGACAGGTGGTTTCTTCCCTAACCTATAGTACTTTCTCTCTGCTTCTTTTCTGTTTTCAGATTAACTGTAGAAAACTGTGTCAAATCCATGTTCCCAAAAGCAGGGAACATGGATTTGGGAAGGACCATCGTCCTTCCCAAAACCGCAAATGAAAAATATAATTTGCAGAATGGTGTTCAAGAGTGTCACCTCATCCTTGCATCCCTGAGTCCCGTCTTCAGTGCTAGAAGAGCCACCAAAGCTGGCACCATTCTCACACTGGGCTAAGAACCATCATCACCCAGAAGAGAGAAGCCGTTCCAGGATAAACGCTGCTGTGCTTGCCAAATTTGCGCTCTGAATCTTCAGCCCAGCCGCAGGGCTAAACAGAGCCAGTTGAAGCATAGGGTTTTGTGGTTTATAATGCCATTTGCAGACATGCATTTCCACGGGTGTTTATGCCTGGACACACAGGCGGCAGCATGCGGTGAGAGAGCATGTCGTTATGTGGGCAGAGGAGCCGCTCCAGAGAGCCGCACGTCTCAGCCTCCCTCGCCACAGGCCTTCCTTCTCTGACACCAAGGAAGGGCTTCCTTAGAGAAAGAACTTGTTCCTCACCTCGTGTTGAAAACGTTCCCTGACTCTTCCCTTATCACACAATCTCAGTTTTTCTATACATGATGTTAGAATGTCTTAATGCAAGCATGTTTTGAATTTTGTTATTTCCCCAGGATACAGATGTACCACATAATAATATGCTGTGCCTACACCAAGCATGGACAAACTTGGATCCTTCATATGTTTTGGCTTCAACTCCCACAATTCCTAACAGCCTCAGGCCCTTTCTTTTCCCCCCTCAGCCGCTTAAGCGGCTGAGGGGGGAAAGGAAGCGGCCTGAGGCTGTTAGGAATTGTGGGAGTTGAAGTCCAAAACACCTGGAAGGCCCAAGTTCGCACATGCCTGGCCTACACCATATACTAAGCAGTAGACTATTAGTGAGGGATAGATTATTGGTGATAACACTATTTTTGTTCCTGGATTATATATGTCATTTCCTAATTGGTTCTATTATGAAAACATGAAAAAAGTTTATTACATTGCAAAAACTTTGTTTTTGCGGGAGGGACATCTTGCAGCACATTTCCTCTAGTTTTTCTCATCAAGTCTCAATCAATTCAACTTAGTTTGTAGCAGCCACAAAAACAATGTTTCTAAAGTATAACACCTACTTTCAAAGTAAGTACTGCATAATTAAACAAGAATAACACTTTCAAACCAGGAACAGCTTTGCTTTCAAATTTTGTTACATAATGTTATCATCAGATTTTCTCAGAGGGGTACAGAATTATTAGTAAGTTGGCAGCATTTGAAGTATCCAGATTCTCATGTGGTCATTGGCTCTTCTGTTACACTCCTGCAGAAAGTGGTCCAATCTCGATAAAATAATGAAGAATAGAGACATCACACTGGTAACAAAGATCCGCATAGTTAAAGAAATGGTATTCTGTAGTTACCTATGGATGTGAGAGCTGGACCATAGGGACGGCTGAGTGAATGAAGATAGATGCTTTTGAGCTGTGGTGTTGGAGGAAAGTTCTGAGAGTGCCTTGGACCACCAGAAGATCCAACCAGTCCATACTTCAGGAAATAAAGCCTGACTGCTCATTGGAGGGAAGGATACTAGAGACAAAGTTGAAGCACTTTGGCCACATAGCTTAGAAAAGACAATGGCGCTGGGGAAAATGGAAGGAAAAAGGAAAAGGGGCCAACCAAGGGCAAGTTGGATGGATGGTATCCTTGAAGTGACTGGCTTGACTCTGAAGGAGCTGGGGGTGGTGACGGCAGACAGGGAGAGCTGGCATGGGCTGGTCTATGAGGTCACAAAGAGTGGGAAGTGACTGAACGAATAAACAACAACAACTCATGAAAAAGGGAACAACAGGTGTTTTCTCTGTAATCCAAGCAAAGGGTCCATCTACACTGGCACTATAATGCGGTCTAAGATGACTCAAGGCGGCCGCAAAAAGCATGCCTCTAGTGCACACTGCAGCATGCATTGAAGGGTTACAGTTCAGTAAGTCACAGGAAAAGCTGAGTTAAGGCAAACAATGTGCTGCAGCAGATTTCAGTGTGTCCCAGATTCAGGGCTCTATCAGCTCTGCAAAATGCGGAACACATTGTTCACACCTCTCCCTGCTGAAGTGCATTATAGAATCCATAAGGGAGGCTGCCAAAAATCTACCCCAAAGTCATTACTAGTTAGCAGAGGGCTGGCTGACCCCAGGGAGGAGCAATTGGTTACTCCCACTCCTAGGTGAGACTCCCCCCCACCATGCCTCTGGAACAGTGGTGCGCATCTCACCCAGAATTGGCAGTGAAACCCATATGAAATAGAGCAATTTAAATTGGCTGTGGATAGTGAGACCCAGGCTGCGGATAGTGAAACCCGAAGCACGGATACCAAATTCCATCAAGTGGCAGTGGGCTACCTGTGGATCCATGTGCCTGGTGAGACAAAGAAGCTAATCCAACGTTCCCAAATAAATCTCACCAAGTTGAAGAAGAAGTCACCAAGGTATTTTATTCAAATCAGCTGAAGTGATGCCAGCTCATGGTAATCCGCCAAAGTAAGCTGAGATGCCATACAATAGGAGAGCATTCCTCACTTCCAATGCAGATTCCTGCTCTCCAATGACTGACGGGGGCAGACTGGCCCAGGAGACAAAGGACTGTAAAGTACAGTTGAATGAATAACCTTTGTCCCATTGAGTGACACAACAAAGAGGAGTTATCAAGTCCCATGCATTTTATCATTGTTCTTTGTATACATGAGTGACCCATTAAGTGCTCGTGTCCATTGTGTTTCCTGTGGAGTATTGTCAGTGATGGGATTCAGTTCTGGCAATCCAGTTCTGGGGAAAGGTGAAATGTCATTGTGGAAATGGGGCATGACTTTCTCATCATTAGGAACTGTCGTGCCAGGTGATGAGTGTCCAAGTAGCTGCACCAAGGACAGGCGGACCATACCTTGGATTCCTGTTGTCTCCTGCACAGCTGGAATTATGGAGCCAGAAGAGATGGACTGGATCTGAGGGTGATGGGTAATTTAATCCTTTATGATTGACATGATGCCCAGAAAATGGCTGGAGGGGATTTCCTGGGGCATGAGATGCTGGTGAAAGATTGCCAAGGGCTTGTTGGGTGACTTCATTCTCCAAAGTTTTATATTAAGACATAAAATATTACATATTAAACATGCTCACATACATGAGGGTTTGCAGATACTGAGGGTGACCCAGTGAATGGAGGCCTGGGTATCCACAGGGGAGATTGGGGACTCAGGGTTAGTTGGGGAGAAGGAGGACACGTTGGAGGGTGAAAGAAGGGAGTGCGGGAGGAAGGAAGGAAATAGCCGAAGGATGGTTTATATGTATATATAGTTATATATGTTTTAGTAGAATCCAGCCGCTGCAGCAAGGAAACAGAAAAAGTGAATCAAAGATGACACAAGAGTGGTAAGTATAGGCAGAAAGGATACATTTTAGATTAGAGATATAAGTACAATATTATAAAATGTATTGTTTTCTTGGCTTTCCCTTTCCTACCCTTTTAGCTTTCCCAGGCTGGAGCATAGAAATGTAAATGCTCCTCACTCCAACTAGACAAAAAGCACTGGAATCCCTTTGTTTGTGAGTCATTGACTGGGGTCGGTCACAATAGCAGCAGGGTCGTTTAGCTATTGGCTTAGGCCAAGCAAAGGTCAATATCTTCTGTACCATGGATTCCAGTATATTTGTTACCTGTTCATTTCTGTTACATACACACACACACACACACACACACACACGTGTGTGTGTGTGTGTGTATATATATATAACACCTTGATTTTATACAAGGTTATACACAGATCTAACATGGGAAGGAGTCCTTATTGTTGTTAGTCCCTTTGCAAGTTGGCCAAGACTTTGGCCCTTTTATATCATTCCAGCGTGGTGTCCTTGGTGAATCTTTAAATTCCCTAATTATAAACTATCTTTTATTGAGGGGGGGGGGGATTTGAGGCCAGGTTCCGTGTTTAATGTAATCACCTACCTGGCCTCAAACCAGTGCCAGACCTGTCAATCTAATCACTTGTGCAGCAAAACTGGTTCTTTCCAAACCAGTTCCAAGCTATGTTATAGTGACAGTGAATATAGGGCCAAAGAGAGAAATGGGGGCTGTGCTGGCTTAATAGTATGGCCCAAACAATATTTAAACAAGTAGATACAGCACAGTGGTTTACAACCAACTAACTTGTAAATATGTTAGAGTAGCAAATATAAAGTTTACAAACCACAAAAATACTTTTCTACAGCTTTTGGTGTGGGGGAACTTTTGAAATTAACCTTTTTTTTAACCAAAATAATTTTTATCCTTTTGAAAACTATAGTTTATTTGTTTGTTTATTTATTTATTTACTGTACTTATACCCTGCCCTTCTCACCCCCGGAGGAAGACTCAGGCAGTTTACAAACTATGGCAATAATTCAATGCCAGATTCAGACAATACTTACTTACTTACTTACTTAGGCAATCCCTCATAGCCCAAGGATGGTGGTCCTCCAAGTGCAGTGTCTTGGTGGGTGGCTGTGGAGCCCTATTCTTGATCCGCATGTTCTCCTGCAGGGAGTACATCGGTTTCCAGGTGGAAGGTGGTCCCGGGCAGGGTTGGAAGACAGGCGGACAAATGTCAATGTGCTGAAAGAAGGAAAGACCACCAGCATTGAAGCAATGCTCCTATGCCATCGACTCCACTGGACTGGCCACATTGTCTGAATGCCCAATCACTGTCTCCTAAAGCAGTTACTATACTGCAAACTCAAGAACGGGAAATGTAATATTGGTGGACAGGAAAAGAGATGTAAAGATGGGCTTAAAGCCAACCTTAAAAACTGTGGCATAGCGACAGAGAACTGGGAAGCCCTGACCCTTGAGCACTTCAGCTGGAGGTCAGCTGTGACCAGCAGTGCTGCAGAATTCAAAGAGGCACAAAAGGAGAGCAAAAGACAAAAAAAATTAAAAACATATACATATAAATTAAATAGTTTTTCAAATGATTAAAACATATCAAACATATCAAGAGTCTAGCACCAATTGAGCTTTGTAAACATTAAACCACTTGCTTTTGCCACTCTTATACAGATTCTGTCATACTTAGTTCCCAGAATCCACTCACTAGCATGATGCAGCATCGAAGAATCTGAAAATTCAAACTGTAACTCTTCCAGTCTCAAACCTACAAGTGAAACCTTCTCAAACAATGACTGAAAGCAAGCTCGCTGGGCAATAGGCGGGAGAGGTGATCTACACTGAGAGGCTCCATATGCTTCCCATATTCAGGAATATGCCAAGCCTACAGCTGACAGCCCCCCAACTCCATATTCTTCCTGTTTGAGTCCTACAGTTCAAAACATTTTCAATGAAAGAGCCAGAGCCGCTTAGTTAAAATCCTGCTAATAAGACATGGCTGGTTCCAGTTTTCGGCCGATGCTGAGTGGCTTTGATGGTCTGATGGCTCTCAGAAAGGGCAACTTTCCCTTTTAATATTTTTTCACTATTCAGCATGTTATGAACAGTTCTATCAACCTCCGCAGCCACAGCTCTACCAACATCCAGACATCTGCAACCCCTTAGTGTGTGGCATTTCCCTTCCTTCCCCCTTCTTCTTGGTTTTGCTAGCTTTAACCCCACATGCGCCACTTGCCAAACATAGATGTCATTCTGGAATCCAGAGTCATCTAAAGGGGTGCGAAAGGGCATCCTGTGGGCCATAGTCTGTCCCTGGACCCCACTCCTGCAGCTCTTCCAATCCAGCTGATATTGCACACCAATATACCCGTTTGCATTCAAATCATCAATTTATTCTTCCAAGTGTTGGGATAGATCAGTCTGATAATGTGAAATATTCTTGAAAGGAAATCTCCTGGTTGGAGAATTTCGGGTTACTATCCAAAAAAGTAATTGCTCCAAGCTCTAGGGCTGCTCTGAGCAAATCTTTTGTTGCTGTGAACAAGCATTTTGTGCTCCCGCTCCAACTATTATGTTAATAGCAGCTAAGTTCCTCTGGAGCATCAGCTACTCCTGTTCTGTCGCGCACTGGGTCTGAACAAATTGTCTTTATTCTATAGGATGTATACTTTAAACCCAGTGGGAAGCCGGGGTGCCTCAAAGAGAGATTCTTAGGGAATTCCTGAAGTGATGGTCTTTGGAGTCTTTCTTGGTACAACAAAGTCTTTATTAAGGAACAAATAACAAATCTTCAAACAACACTTCAAGGTTTTCTTATTCTAGTCTTTAAGAGACTGGCACTGACTTGGATTAACTGTACTTTCTCAGCATGAGGAAGAACCCTTTATAATCTCTCCCAGGTTGTCTATTATCTGGGCCTCACTGGTCTGGGTCTTACTACCGATCCCAAATGTGTCTGAACATCGAGTAAACCTACCAGGCAAGACTTGAAGATACTTCAGCTGGAATTCTGTCCTGTGGGGACAGAATGCTGTCCTGTGGGGACTTCAGGACTGTTTTCCCCTCTGGTGCTGTGAGGCTGAGAGGCTGTGAGCTCTCAGCCAGAGCCTTTGGGATCTTTTCCTTCTGTTTCTATTTCCCTGGATAATCCCCAGATGATCACCGGATGATCCCCGGATGGTCCCGAGGAATGAAGCTTTTCCTACGGGACGAGCTGTCTGCGTCCTATAGACTAGCTTCCTTGTGTGTGACTGACTAAAAATGGCTCCCTTCTCTTCTGAAAACCCAAAAGGGGGCGGAACTAAGGAACCTAATGATGATGGACAGATGGCCTGCCCTATAACTGCAAACTTTAACAGGAAGCCACCCTTCTGCAAAATCCCAAGCCTTGGGCTGCAAGCAAACACTTAATACAAGGCAAATAAAGTGGGAGCTTCTGATACAGCTGTACCAGCACAACTCCTGCTAATTTCATATTATCTTGAAGTTTGATAAGCATGCTTTCTATGCCATCATCCAAATCTATATAAATAAAAATGTAATGTTCGTTTGTGGGATTAACATAACTCAAAAACCACTGGACAAATTGACACCAAATTTGGACACAATACACCTATCAGGCTGACAAGTGACCATCACTCATAAAAACACTGAAAAACACTGTGGAAGAGACATAAAAATCCCAAAAATAAAAAGTACATTACAGTGCATGCACAAAACTACATATATATGCAAACACACATATATACACATATACACACATATATACACATATATATGCACACAAAACACATATACACAGACTGGGCCACAGCAACCTGTGGCAGGGGGCGGCTAGTCTATATAAATAAAAATGTAATGTTCGTTTGTGGGATAAACATAACTCAAAAACCACTGGGCGAATTGACACCAAATTTGGACACAATACACCTATCAGACCAACGAGTGGCCATCTCTCATAAAAACATTGAAAAACACAGCAGAAGAGACTTAAAAAGCAAAAAAAAAAATACATTACAACGCATACGCAAAACCACATATATACACATATAGACACACACAAAACACATATACACAGACTGGGTCACAACGTGTGGCAGGGGATGACTAATCATTGATAAAGATGTTGGATAGCAACTGGGCTCAGGACTGAAATTAGTAGTCACTTCTTTCTAAGGCGCAAGGGGTTAAACCCTTGTACCAGTTGAACTGCTGACCGAAAGGCGGGTGGGGTGAGCTCCTATCTGTCAGCTCCAGCTTCCCATGCAGGGACATGAGAAAAGCCTTCCACAGGATTGTAAAACATCTGGGCATCCACTGGGCAATGTCCTTGCAGATGGCCTTTTCTTTCACTCCAGAAGCGACTTGTAGTTTCTCAAGTCACCGCTGACACGGAAAAAAAACTTCTTTCCAAAATGAGAAGTCACTTGGAAATCTTTGAGTTTGGTTGGTCAACCAATTGCAATTTCACCTTAAAGTAGCATTGTCTAGCCCACATTTTACTAGCCTTGGGGACCTTGGAGGATCTTGTGAAAGGTCTTACTGAAATCAAGCTATGCTATATCCACAATTTTCATAGCACTTCAGTGCACTTCGACAATTAATTCTATTTGGCAGTTGTCTTTCTTGGAACCAGCAGCTCTAATTAAGACTATATTTTCTGGGGTATATAGCAATAGAGGGCAGGGGTGTGAAACTGGCCCAGAATTAGAGAGCATGTCTGAGGAAGCCACTTTTACTTCAAAAGAGCAGTGAACAGTTGTTCTCTTCTAAATCTCTATCTATCTCCATAATAAAAGTGAAAATATATGTGTGTGTATGTGGCTGGGATGCCCACTTCCATAGACAGGGTCCCAGTTCCTCAAACAGCTTTAACCCACAGTGCTGAGGAGCCACCAATATCCCTCCCTCCAATGACATTTCAGGTTATAGCGAGCACCATGAAAATGTAGCCCAGCCCCTGCCAATGTCCTCTCCAAACACCATAATGCCCACCATCCAAGGAATGTTTTCATTCGGAGATAATTTCATCCTGGATTTTATGTGTTTCCTCCACCACAGACATCCTAGTGTTTCTTACTCTCTCTGTTGGTGTGGAATTTGCATGGTCCCACCCACTGCCTCTCCCTCAATCCTTTCCTACTCTTTCAACTCCGGCTGCACAACAAACAGAGCAGAATTAATCAGTAACTAAACATACTGGAGAAGTTTGGGGGATTGACTCCACATGATGGAAGTTGTAGTTCACCCTGCATCAAGTCAGAGCACTGTGACCCCCACTGACAATGGACCTGGACCATATTTGGCACACAGAACACCCATGACCTAAGAAAAATACTGAAGATGTTTGGGGGAATTCACTTTGATTTATAGCCATTGTAAGTACTGGGATTTCTAGTTCACCTGGAATCAAAGAGCACTCTGGACCCCACCAACAATGGCCCTGAACCTAACTTGGCACACAGAACTACCATGACCAAATGAAAGTACTGGAACGGTTTGGGGGGGAGGGGGGACTGAGCTTCATTTCTGGAAGTTGTCGTTCACTTACATCCAGAGAAAGCTACTGAAGGAATGAAGGAGAAAGTTGTTCATTTCAGATTTCAAAGCAAACTGTTCTATTTGTGCCATTTGTGGACCAATGCCGACTAGTCCTCCAAAAGTCACACTTCTTTGTATTTTTCAATGGAGTTTCTCCAATTCTTTTTTGAAATGTGACAAAGATATTTATATACAGGAAAACATTAACATTTAATATATGAAGGAAGTGGCATGTAAAGAACATGGTTAGGCAAAACTGCAGAAAAAATGTATTCAGAAAAATGTGTACCCACTTTAATACAAACTTTATATGACTGGAAAAACAAGTAAACATGGGAAATGAAAACTGGTGGGTTCCTCTGCTCGTAACATGGGTGTTGATAGACTTGTTCATTAGTGCTGCCAACGATAATTCCCTTTGGAAAGCAGGAGATCTTTGGTACTCAGGTTGACCCTTTGACACAAACATGTCCTGAGTCTGGCCGGCTAATCATTTGGGATCTGACGGCAACACCTTTGCAAGTGAGCTAAACAAACAGCATCCAATGAGTTAAAACGCAGCCCTGGCGGAAACAAGTTTGGAGAGACATGCCAGCCAGAGGCCTTGAAATCCTATTAATTAATGCCACACATGTGCTGCGTTTAACCTCTGACCTTGTTCATAATAGTGACACAAGCACCCTGGCCAGTGTTTCTTAATGTGCTGGGTTACCAGGGCAACTGTCACATGGATTTCTTAACTATATTACTCAAATCACTGGGAGGCAGCCCTGAAACTACCATCGGTGGAAAGGCAGAGCACCAGACATGCAAGCTGAGTGGGGAACTGTGCTTAAGTAATGCATCCATTTTAACATGAAGGTACGAGAGTTGAATGAAAAGTAATGCCTCCACCTTCGTAACTCCGCAACAGATGGC